GTTTTAGCGAATTTCCCATAGGGATAGGAAATAAGCTATTGCCGTAGGTCTCAGAAACGATGGGCAATAACAATTCAGAGAATTAATATTCTTTACATGCGAGTAGAGTAAAATATTTTAAATGAAATTCATGTTGAATGAGAATAATATCCGATGACATATCGTCGGTTCTCTGCGGAACTGTATCGCTTTTAACAGGTTAATTTGAAAATACAAATTTTTCAATAACTCTAATGACCTCTTTTTGTAGTTTTAAAACCTTATTTAAAATTTTTCAAATTCTTTTGTACTGTCCCACCATAAATTTAGATTCCGTATCCAAATTGACATTCTATAAACGAGTGGTATATCATTTTTAACACAGCTTTATCACAGAGATAAGCCATTGATCTCAAAACAAACAAGCCTGAATTAATTTTACCAACCAAATTGTCACTTGATTGACTGGGTTATTATTTACTGTAATCATAGGGGTTTGATCTTTTTTGATCTTATTTGTATGAAAGAAAACAAAATTTGTCTAAATAGTTGTTTGTTAAGAATTTTTCGATATTTTTGAGCTCCAATTCGGTAGAATTTTCAATATCAGTAATTGGATTACCCGAAGTTTTAAGATTGATATCATCAGCATATACGCTTAATGTACTGGTATACCTATAAATATTACCTATTACCTAAATATTACCTATAAATACATTTGGTAGGTTTTTAATGTAGCAAATAAAAATAGGTCCCAAAATAGAACCCTAGAAATAGGACCTCTAGATGCATTTGTTATAGTAAATCTGATTTTGTCTTCTGTATCCAATTGTTTTTTGATAAATAAGAGAGTTCTACAAATTGATAGCGATCCTCCAAATATGAAGTGAACCATTTATGTGCAACACCCTTAATGCCCATTATCTTAAGCTTGTTTAGCAATACCATATGATCTACATTGTCAAAGGCCTGCGACATGTCCATAAATGTTCCAGCAGTATTTAAGCCTTTATCAACAGAATCTATTATGTCTTCAATGAGACTAATTGCTGCAGTGACTGTTGATCTTCCAGCCCAGAAACCATGCTGTTCATTATCGATTTGTTCTGGTCTGCTTAAAAATTCTATCAATCTGTTGCAAACTGCTTTTTCATATACTTTAGAAATTGTGGGAAGAACTGATACTGGTCGGTAATTAGAAACGTCATTTTTTGAATTCTTTGTATGAACTGGTATGATCTTAGCAGTTTTTTATTGATTTGGAAAATAGCCTGTGATAAATGAAGAATTTATTAGATATGTCAGGTTTTTAAAAGATTTGATAATTGAAACTATTTCAGTGTCAGTAACGGGTTTTAGATAAAAATTTGAATTAAATGAAAAATTTTTATTGTTGTCATCCTGAGTAGAGAAAGATGGTTGAGTTGGTTTTGTGGTCGTCTGGGCAACAAATGTATCAAAGAAGTTGCTTACCTCTGCGGGTCTGCTTATCACCTTCTCACCATTTTTCAACACAATGCCCAGATCTTTTTTTGACTATTCTTTGTTCTTGGATTTCTTTGTTTATTATTGACCAAGCAGTTTTTGAAATGTTAAATGATTGCTTAATTTTGTTGTTGTAATACTCTTTTTTGCATTTAAGAGATCTAAGATTTAAGAGATAAATATGGAGTATTTGCATTCTGTAGGGGCCATATAAACATCCATCCAGTTTTCACTCTGTAACATAAATTTAAACATCTTTATTTTCTCTAAACTGTAATTTCCGCAAGATTTAGTTTTGACTTTTTCCTTTGTTTTAAATTTACTACCAGCAATGTCAAGCTCTAATACTTGTCCATCGTGGTCTGATAAGAATGTAATCAGACCATAAACATATAACTTATTTGTGACATTTGTTAAAAAATTATCTATTGCCGCCCAGACAGCACACTTTATCCCAGGGACATCCCATAGTAGTCCCATATGTCCTGAGAATGTCTCGGGATATGTGCGCTATCCTCAGGATATCCCGCAAAATCCCGGGACGAGTACGAAATCCACAGGATATCCTACAATATACCGTAATGTCCCGGGATTTGTAAGTTAACCTCAGGATATCCTGTAAAGTCCCGGGATATGTACGAATGCCATAGGATATCCCAGAATGTCCCATGACATCCCGGGACATGTACAAAATCCACTGGATATCCTGTAATGTCCCGTAATGTCCCGGTAACAAACTGAAGAAAAAAAATACTACCACTGATGAAATGTACATTATATCTAAATTTTAATGTTCAACAAGGCCAATATACCAATTTAATATACCAATATAATAATTTGATTTTTTCACTAGTGCTTTTTGAAACTTGGTTTCCATCTTCAGGCTGTGTTTACACTAGTACAAAAAGTAAATATTTACTTAATAAATTAATTTTAAACAAAGTTAAAACAGATGATTTAAAGGATATTGGAAAAATAAAAAATAATATTAGAAAAATTAATCTTTTGAATTTTGGATATGTTACCGTGTTGTTCTTGATGTAATTATTTTCAGTAATTCCGAATTTATAATTGGGCCGTCTTCATTATTTAACAAATAATTTTGGTCAGTTTTTTTTTCTAAAAATAAGATTCCCACGCATTAAGAAGTTGAGGTTTTATAATTTATTTTAAAAGTTTAAGGTTTCCCAGATTGAAAATATATCTTGTTAATACTATGGCTAGCAAGGGTTGACTTTACTTTACTGACATATTACCACTGAGTTAAGGAAAACTAGAGTTCTATCATAGTTGTGTGAAATGTGAATTTAATTCTAACTTTAAATTAATAAAACAACAAAAAACTAATTTTAATCATATAACAATCAATTATTACAGTGCTAATCTAATGGTGATTAAATAATCTATATTCAAATACTTCAAATATCCTCTCCAACTACCAGAAAAACAATTCAACTACTTGGGGCCTAAATAGATTAACAGAATCATATATAGCCTATATTGTAGTATCAAAAATATTTTAAGTATTGCGACCATTGCAACTGTCGGCTACTCTTTAACCACTTGAAAACACCCATAATCAACAAGCGCAGATAGCTCAGGAGGTAAGATAAGAGGCTCACAAGGCGAAGGTACCAGGTTCAAAACCCGTCTGGGCCAAAAACTTTTTTCTCGTTTTTTTCTTCAAAATTTGTGTTTATTAACTATTTAATCAATTTACTAAACTCATAATTAAGCTTTTCATACTAAATCTATATTATTTTGTGTTTTTTATGTTCAGGCCCAGACCACACTTTATCCCAGGGACATCCCATAGTAGTCCCATATGTCCTGAGAATGTCCTGAGGACTACCCTGGGATGACCTCGGATGTCCCACGGATATGCGTGTGAGCTTATCCGTAGGACATCCCCGGGCGGGGACATTAGGCATTCCTGTGGATATCCTGTGATATCCCAAGTTGACCATAGGACCACTATGGGATATCTTGCATATCCTGTCGCAATATCCGTGGGATGTCCTGAGGAGAAAGTGTGCTGTCTGGGCGATTGGCAGTTTTTTGCTACCCTTGTGGGAAAGTTGATTAAATACCGGTATCTCATATTGTGACTTTTTAACATGCTCTGTAGTTCTTTAAATTGTTATCTTTTGCGATTACAATATTTATGTCTCCTGCTACTATAATATTTTTACTAAAATTTGAAACGCTATCAACTACAAAACTAAGATTATCCAGGAATAAATTAACATCGGCACTTGGAGATCGATACACACCTACAAACTCATACCCATTATAGCACTTCACAGCACAGCATTCAAAAACCTTCTCCTGACAATGTGTGTCTATTATTTTAGGTGATATTTTCTTAACTGCTACATTATTTTTAGCTAATATTGCCACACCTCCTTTAGAAAACTCGGTGCATCCCGTCTCCCGCACTAGAGGCGTGTTGAGCTCGGTGCATCCCGTTCCCCCGCACTAGAGGCGTGTTGAGCTCGGTGCATCCCGTTCCCCCGCACTAGAGGCGTGTTGAGCTCGGTGCATCCCGTTCCCCAGCACTAGAGGCGTGTTGAGCTCAGTGCATCCAGTCCCCCGCACTAGAGGCGTGTTGAGCTCGGTGCTTCCCGTTCCCCAGCACTAGAGGCGTGTTGAGTAAAATGTAGTAAAAACTTTCCATGGACCTGTGATATATTAGAAGGCTCCAATGAGAGCCACTTCCATTCTCGAAGTCAGTTGAGTCATTGACGGGTATGGGGTATAATTATATTTTTCTCTGTCAATGTTAAGGGATCGAATAGATGATCTGTGTTAATTAGGGACTTGAGGGCATGGCTGATTAACGGATTCATTATACATACACTTGCACTGGATCTAAGAATGTAACTATTTAACTTTTCAAAGTACTTACTTAATCGGATGATCAGTAAGCCAAACAGGCTGGACTACGTTGTTTTGGAGTTTAACATTCATCGTTTGCACAGAATTGTTAAGTTGTTTAATTTGGTCATTAGCTTCCTGTGATTTGATTTTCAATTCAGTGTAATTTTTCTCGAGTTCATTTAGATCTTCCTTACTTTTTGAATGGATTTCATTAAAAGTATTTACATCTTCTGTGCTTAAAAGGTTTTAGGACTTTCTTAGGTGTATTCTTGTTTAAAATAGCACTTGGGTGCTCAGATTTTTTCCGAGAATAAGATCTAGTTTTAATAGCAGGGCTTTTTCTAGCTTTATTTAAATTTAAAGTTAAATTGTTTTTATTTTGCATAACCATTTTTATTTTAACCAAGCACAGACGGGATTTTTCAGATTTAAAAAACTGAGAACTTGTTTATTTGCTACTCAATTCACCCAGGAACAGTACAGGTGTAATCAATTTTACTATTTAATTTTCTAGTAAATATGAGTTAGTCTTCCAACAGGGATGTTAAAGCTTCATAGAAACTAAAGTTGCTGAGCATCGTCTGCAAGTGCATACAATTCAAACTTCTTCTTGCCGCCAAATTATAGCTCAAGAGCATAACCAACTCGAAATTTTGTTTACTTATTACTTTAACTTTATAGTTATAGTTTGGGATATCGTGCATCTGTATCGTAATAAGTGGTTGCTTCCTTCTAATAGTGGTAAACTGTAGTTTATTACTATGTAGGCCCTAAGTTAGATATAACTTTGCATGCTCTATCTATACACTAGCTAGAGACTAAGTATTCACTTAGAATTAGGCTAAACATAAATAACCTAAAAGAATTTCATACAAATTACCCCTCGGCTAGGCCTGTGAACAGGTCTAGCCACCATGCACACCGATACTGATTTGGAAAAAATACAGACAGTTAATTCCATTTTGATTGACAATAATTCTTTTATCAACAATAGCCGGGTACAGTTTCTTAACTGGGCTATATGCTAATATCGATTGAAACTATCGAATTGAAAATATTGTATAGTAATCGATATTTTTGAATATATGTACTATAAAATTAAACTATCATAACCTAACCTAACCAACCAAACTTGCTGATGGTGAAAAAATCGCATGAAAGTTTATAAATCGAATCAATAGTATCAATCGATATTAGCATAGCCCAGTTAAGAAACTGTACCCCAATAGCCAAGACAAACACAGAATTGATACAGAAAATGAACAATTTAGGCCTAACCTAGAAATGGAAAAACGTGACCACAAAAGAACTTTATCCTAGTCTTCTGGTAACAGTAATGACAAACAGATATCTCATGATAAGAAAAAACAATTTCTTAACTTTCTCAGTCATGAGGACACCCACAAAGGGCCGTATGAAGTAATCATAGAGGACAAAAGTAAAGAAAGACTTAGTCCCTTTAAAATCGGTAAAATACTAAAAAGGAACGATACTATTGAGGTAATTAAAAGAACTGGCAAAAACATAACTGTCTAAACTTACTGCAAAAGCTCAAGGCAGCTAACGATTTAATATTAAATCAGGACTTGGCCAATTTCTCTGTATTCATTCCCTCCAGGCAGCGGCGGAGCCAGGATTCGGCTTTGGTGGGGGGGGGGGCAATCCGGGGGGTCTGGGGGTATGGAATACCCCCAGGGGGAAGGGGGGTCCGGGAATACTATTTGTAATACAAATACTTAGTAATACAACAATTTTTGTATTTTATGGTGCAAAATTGCAGTTTCTAACACCTCTGGAGGCTCTAGGTAAAGAATAATCTAGGTGTATTGCCACTAAAAATTAGCTTTTACTGCTCTGAAATAAAAAAAAATTCCCAAACTACTATTTATCTGCGTGATGTAATTTTAGTAAAATAAATCAAGCTAATAAAACTACACTCAGCTTATAGAATAAAGAATATGGCACTTATAAGCCAATACTATATTGCACCATTGTGGAGTATTTTCCTTCCACCATGATATTGCACGTTAGTTATGTAACTTAGTATACTTGTACATACATAGTAGGATAAAAACTTTTTGTTTTATGATACTTGTAGAATACAAAAAAGGCAGAGTAAAAAAATAATAAACTTTAAGATGAGTTAGCTAGTACAGCACTTTATAGTAGGCCTACATTATATAATTTTCACTTGAGATTTGCACTAACTGGCAACACAGGGCTTGCTTATCTCGCTCCCCCCCTCTCTCGTATGTCTGGTTGGACGATGATTCACAACTAGGCTTCTGATAAAAACAATAACTTTTTCCAGATATAAATAAAATTGTAATTTAAAATAGGCATAAATAAGCATTTTTCTCTGATCATTAATATCAACAAATACTTTTGATCGGACAGTTAATAGTCTAGAAAAACTAAGATTAATTAAGGAGCATGTTATTTAAGTTAAATAAGTAAACTATTTATCATTAAAACGACTTCAAACTGCCCAATTTGAGTGATTTTTACACATTTATTACCACCATAGCATATGGTAACAAATCGTATACTGTAGGTCATCAAATTAAAAAAATGTAATATTAGAAAGATATTAATTATTACTTAGGAAAGAGGTTATCCAGGAAGTGGACGTCACTGATATAGATTTTAATCTTAACACTAGATGTCCAAAGTAAAATGATAAGTTAGACCATAGATAAAAAAAACACTTAGATTATTAGTCAATACTGTGGTGTCAGATTGATGCTCCGATGGGCAAGTCTATTTTTATCACCGCGTAGGTAAGGACGGCTCGGGGAGGGGCGTCGCTCAACGTGCGGTGGCCGAAGCACTGGCACTGCATGTGTATTGTATAGTGTGTACGCACTCATTTGACTGTGTTTCTAGGACGCACGTGGCAACGCTCCCGTGTGTCTTCGTGTGTACAGTACAGGGTGTATGGGTGTATACAGCTATGATTTTAAACAGCATTCAGCATTCTACATCGTGGCTCGTGAGCAACTAAAAAAAATAAAAAATTCGGGGGGGGCCCCGGCCCCCTCCTTGGATACGCCACTGCCTCCAGGAGACTCTTCTCTACGGGAGTTGTGTACGCTCCACTTGATGTAGATGAGGAAGAGTTTTTATGTGAGGCTGAAAGTGAGCATAAAATCACCAAGGTTGAAAGAATTAAAAAATGATAAACAAAGAACTAACAAACACTAATTTTTTGAAAATAACCTTTCTGTCTGAAAAACTCCCAGATGTTAGATTTTACCACATTTTGATGAAGGTTCAACATTATATGATCCCAGTAAGGCAATTATAGATGCTTCTCCTATAGCCATGTTGCAAATTCCCCTTGCAAGAAACAACGTTTATGCAGGGACTGTGGGGATCCATTCCATGAAGGACCTTGCATAACTGCTGTAAAATGTGTCAATTGTGAAGGAGAACACTCGAGTAAATCCCGAGACTGTCCAGAATATAAAAGACAGGTACAGATCAAATCCCGGATGAGCCTGAATAAAAAAGATTACTTTACTGCAAGTAAGCACTACCCTATAGGCCTAATGTACAAAAAAATCATACACATCAAAACACTTTGTAGTCCCAATAAAGACATAAGCCTACTCTGAGGCCGCATGGGTCATCTGCGACCCTTCCCTAGCCTAGCACCACCTCGTGTAATGAATTTCGATAGTGGAAACAAATTTAATTTTCTTCCTAAGATTGTGACATATAAAACGACAACCAAGATCAATCCAGGCCTTATAGAAATAGGCCTTATGGAAAATCCGCAAAAACTATTCATAAAACTCTTCTACCTTTAAAAGAAATTTTTGTTTAGTGACTAATTCGTTGAATCTGGTTTTGCTATCATTTAAGTTTGGCATACAATTTATAGTCTCTAGCATACAAAATGGTTCATTTAGTTCGTAGTAGCTTTTGTGTCTATGTGCATCTTCTAGAGAAGGGTTTACCTTACAGATAGTGTCAAATGATTGCAAGTATAGAGGTTTTGGTTTCTTTTGCTAAAAAGGCATTTCTCTACATATAATTTCTAGCCTCATTAAATCTTGATAGGCTGCATGGTTTTTAGAGGTAATAATCTTGTATGTTAACCTATCCGTAAGAATCTTTCTTCTAATGTTTAGTGGTTTTATAGCTGTCTCTGTCAGTAAGGTGTTTATTGATGTAGTTTTAAAAGCACCAATAGCTATTCTTATAGCCTGATTTTGTATAACTTCCAATACATTGATTAACTTGGATACAGAGCCAAATAAAAAGCAGCCGTAGTCTAGTTTAGGTCTGATGAGTCCCTTGTAAATATCAGGAGCAAAGTCTGGGTGAGTGCCTTTACAACCACATGCTATAGCTTTAATTACATTTAGGTCAGTTTGACATGGTTTTTGTACATTCTTGATGTGAGTATTAAACTTCAGTTTGTATATGAAATGAATATTTGATATTGATGACCATTTCACTGGCATTTACCGGAGCAAAAATGCCGTGTCCGGGCCCTGGCAGTCACTGTCTCAGGTCCTGTACTGATAGGTACAAAGTATAACTAGTCAATGTACCTAGGTACTCTCATGGACCTGGACCGACTGGAACTAGTTTGTCAAAGTACAGACCTATGAAACCCATCCCTACTGGAAAAGCCATGATCAAGTTTGATCAAACTAGCCATGCCATTATTTATACAAATTTAAATAAAGTTTAAATTTTTTCAGCTAAAATGGTCAACATTTTATGGGTTATATGATTAACGCAAATAATTGATTAATTGGAGGTTCTAAATAGTGCAAAATAGGTACTAAAAGGTGCCAGTTAGTGTTAGATAACTTAATGTGTGACGTCGAATAAAATAAAAATAAAAAAATCTTGAAAAATAAGAAAGAGCTTTTTAATAGACTGTAAATAATAACAACAAAGAAAAAAATGAGTAGAAAAGATTTTCATTAAAATAATTACAAATGCAAATGTCAACATAGAGAAAACAAGTAATAATTGCAAAGAAATGGTTTAATTTAATTAGATCATGGCCAGGCTAGTGACACACTAAGTTTTGATGCGTTTAGACATAGCTAATCACAATATTAAGGTTTTTTTATTTTTTAGCGAATTTCCCATATAGGGAATAAGCTATTACCGTAGTACTCATGGTAAGACCTGGACCCGGGACCGATTTTTTTTCGTTTTGAGGTCCCTAGAGGCCAAAAACACCATCCGTTCAAATTCATATATATATATATATATATATATGTACATATATTTATACAGTATATATATGTGTCCGTTAGCGCGATAACTCGAGCAAAAATGATCCGATTTTGATGAAATTTGGTACAAACGTGTAAACCTACGTTTATTCAAAGGAGTTCGCAAACCAGCATGATCGGACCATGGGAATGGGGGTTTATGGGGGGTTTTATGGGGTAAAAATGGGTTTTTCCCATTTTTGACCCAAAAAACATCAAATTTTGCAATTTCTTTCTAAACTATTTTGTAGAGCTTAAAAAAACAAATAATTTAGTATATTGAAGCGTTATAATGCGCCTAATGGTTACGGAGAAAATTCCAAAAAATGGTAAATTTAAAATTCCCATGTTTTTCTTAAGGAGAATAAGTAAACTGTTGTAGTTTGCTTGTTTATTAATATATTTTGCCCAAATTTGGAAATAGTATGTTACGTTACTAGTCCTGAAAATAAGTGTTTACCGGACGAGTGTGGTCGTTCCCGTGCGAGACAAAGTCAAGTACGGGAATACCATACGAGTCCGGTACACACATTTTGGACGAGTTACGTACGATAGTTTACGCCATACTACTTAATTCGTACGAATCCTTATATTTTTCAACCAACTAAAGGACTAAACATCACCAGTCATAACCTCTAAGAGAGGTTATGTTTTTGTTTATAACCAATCATTGCCACGCAAATACAGTATAATCAGCTGATTGGTGTCCGGCAAAACTCATTGCAGAACAGTATTGAATAAGCTGACGGCAAACAGCCGTTTTCTTGACTAAATCCTTGCGTGGGAAGTTCGTCAAAATAATGTAGTGTGGCGTAAATGTTTTTATTTCTTACTAACAATTAACAATTTACATAAAAAAACACTTTTACCCTCCCTGTTGCAGCAAACCTAAGTATGTGTTAAACTGATTCTATTTAAATAGGGATAAATGTGATATTTTTAAGTAGACATTTCAGTGTAAATCCAATCAGTCAAATGGAAATTTGCTTAGTCTGCAGGTTTGCTGCGGCGGGGTTATTTCATAATTGCAGTTTCTTTAGTCAAATTCCATAACTTTCAAATCTAGTGATGTAGATAAGGCAGCTTAAGCAATTAAAATTCATTAAAAATTACTATTTTTACGCCTTCTATTACATTGTTTCAGGACAAGAGCTATGGCGACTAAGGACAATCCAGTCGGATTTTTGCAAGAGTTATGCCAAAAGCATGGATATGCATTCCCTCTATACAAAGAGGTAGATGTTACTGGGCCGGACCATGAAAGGTCTTTTACAGTCAAATGTACATTTCAAAAGTTTGAGGCAATCGGAAAGGCCCGAACTAAGAAAGAAGCAAAGTCCAATGCAGCGAAAAACATGATCTTAGTTTCTGAACAATTTTTAGCTGAGACTGTAACTAGAAAGGAGAACAAAAAGCTACATTCGCCAGAAAATACATCATATGTTGGAACTAAAAACGCAGTTTCTGTTCTAAATGAGTTCAGCCAAAAACTTTGTCTGCAGCCACCTAAATTTGAAGTAGTGTCGGGTGTGCATGGATTTGATTGTTCTTGTACATTTCAAGAAAAAACAACATATGGCCATGGTTATAATAAGAAGTCTGCAAAAACTGAATCTGCAAATAAAATGTGCATAGTCCTAAAGTTAAAACATGAAATAGATAACAGTACTGAAGATGAACAAGAAGAAAATAAATCAAAATTGCCTGAATTTGTAGAATTGCAGAGGTATGTAATAATTAATCTTTCCTTCTAAAGCTTGTATAGTCAACTATAGCTGCTACACCTGTACTTCGTAACAGGAAGAGGACACGTTCTCATGGGCGTCCATCTGACTTATCTATAGGGGTGTTTTTTCTGGGTGTTGGGATACGGAATAAACCCCTGTAAAAAGAGTGATCTAGGAGCACTTTTGAAAAATTATGATATTTAGATCTAAAATATTTGCTTTTACACTTTTTAAATAAAAATTTGCTTTGTCAATTTATATGTTATTGCTTTGTTTTTAAAATTTGAATACTGTACTTACTACTGTGGCCACTGGCATAATTTGAATTGTTTAACTGTTATGTTTAGCTTCACAATCTGTAAACCATGGGTTGTTTTGGGCAGAACTCCTAGACAAATTCACAAATGTTTCCAGATTTCCTGACAGAAAAAGAAAAACGATTCTTAGTCCCCAAGAGTACATTATACTAGGAGTCTATGGGTCTGGATAGACTCAAACTCTACTATATTTTTGAGTCTGGTCGGACCAAGCTTTGATCGAGTCGAGCCTAACTGAGCGCAAATTTCCACGACCTCAAAGCGTTTACAAAGATGGACGATCCACATGAAAGATGGACGTGACCACAGAAGTAGTTGTTGATTTTACTGTGACCAGGGATGATGTTTACGGTTTTGCTGAGATCTTGGATTATGTTCTTGATTTTGCCATGACTGTGTGCAGTGAGTGTGTTCATGATTTTACCGTGACTACTGAAGATGTTATCTATCTTTCCGTGGTGGCAGAAGATGTTCTCGATCTTGCCGTGACCACGGATGACGATCGTAATTCTACTGTGACCGCAGACAAAAACAGGGTTTCCCAGTCTGAGTTCAAAGTTCTAGTATGGTTCCTGATTCAATTAATTTACGCAAACTTCCCTGAATTCTCAGTCTGTATCGTCATCCTGGTAGGGTCTTAAAGGGGGGGGGAGGCTCGAGCCCCCTCTTACCCATATGGATGGATGCCCATGAGTCCATACATATGCTTTCCACTACATACTATATACTTTCAGACTTCCAGAGTCCATCATCAGTTGTGACAAAAACATCAAGTCATCTATGTAGCAGTGGGATGATGGTGGAGTAATGGTGTTTCTGTATATATATATGGAATAGATGTGGTATGGTGTATGTGGGAATTAGAATCAGAATCAAAAAAGCTTTACAATATATATACATGAAATATATAGAATGATGTCAATAGTAGTTTACGTAAACTAGGAGCCAAACAATCGCATGAAGATAGTGTTGTTGACACAAGTAGAAAATTTAAGATACGTGCCTTAAATTTTCTATTTACGCAAATTGCGTACACTTCTTTATCTATGACAGTTTTTAATTACTAACATAGACATACTTTATTTGCACAAAACATTCCATACATATCATAACATTTAGATTCAGAATAGGTGCATTGTCAAAATTAAATCCATACAAAAAAAGTGGGCCCAATACAGAGCCTTGGGGAACACCTGTGGATATATAATTTCCCATGGTGAATAATGTTTGTTGTTATCTTCTAGAATTAAAGTTCTTTGTTTTGTTTCGGAAAGGTAAGATATTGTATTAAAGAAAAGCAACTTCCTCCAATCCCATAATCGTTAAGTTTCAGCAACAGCAGTGAGTGATCCACACAGTCAAAAGCCTTAAAAGACAGGAAACGTCTGATGTGGTCTGAGACCTGTCCAAGGCCTCCGCAATCTCATTAACAAACTGCGTGAGAGCAGAAACTGTGCTTAGGTTTTTTTCTAAAACCAAACAACAATCACTACTCATAACTTCTAAGAGAGCTTTTGTTTTAGTTTTAGTTTATAACCTCATTGTAACTCATAGTGATGCAATGAATCATTGTACCAAACACTAATGCACTACTCATTAACAATTAAATGGGTCTAAACAGCTGATAAGTTGACAGTTCGAAGCATTACAATTTGACTTTTTCTCTCTCAAATCCTTGACTCTCATTGGTCCATTACTCGTGTTGTTACGTAAAACTAAAACAATGGGGTAAAAATAGGTTTTTCCCATTTTCGGCTCTAAAATCATACAATTTTACAATTTCTTTTCAGACCAATTTGTAGAGCTTAAAAAAAGAAATAATTAGGTATATTGAAGCGTTGTTGTGTATATGCCTAACAGTTACGGAGGTAATAAAAAAACTTTAAATTTAAAATGCCCCATGTTATTCTTATGGAGAATTAATAAACTGTTGTAGTTTGCTTGTTTATAGACATATTTGAATCAAATTTGGCAATTTTGTTTATTTCATACTAAGCTATCAACATTTCAATCAAAAACACACCTCAATACCTTCCCTGTAGCAACAAACCTACTCATTAAAATTAATGTTATTTAAATAGAAAATAAATCTGACAATTTTCAGCGAATTTTTAGTAGAAATCCAGCCAGGTAAATGGAAATTCGCTTAGTCTGCAGGTTTGCTGCGGACTATCAAATATTTTACATAAACTTAATACCTACAGCTGTTGGCTTCCTGTTATAAAACTTAAGTTTGTGTTGCGTTACGGATGGATAATTTTTATGCCTAGTATTATATGATTATCACCCAACAGTGGCACCTTGTCTTCAGAAGCCCTCACATACATAATAGTGTGCAATATATATATGAATTGTAAACAGGTAGAATGTTTAATTCAGGAAAAAAGTTTTTGACCGATTTTCCATAATACATATTAACATGATTCTTACTGCCCTTTTTGAAGGATTAGAATACTTTGTAAATTTTGATTACTTTTACCTCCGTATAACTCAATACCAAATGTAATATGAGCATGGTAAAGGTGCTGAGACTAGCTATTCGGCTTCTTTAATGTTGGATCAGAGCCTGGAAATCGTACCCTAGTCTGTCTGAGCCCTAACCTACAGTTTGCTGCTACCAAAATTGACTGTGTTAATCTAATTCAAAACCTTGCTGGAGACCAGAGGACGTAGATCTTTTAATGAGACCTGAAAGCAAGCTAAGCCAGCTTTGATTACACTTTAATTAACTGCTAATATTGAAACCTTCCAAAGTAATTTTTCCTTACATTTTAATTGAAAAATGACCATAACTCAAGTTACAACCCATTGAGCTGTCGATAAAGGCAAAAACTTATCACAGCTCAGGGGCTAAATAATGGATTTTAATGACAGAGCTTAGGTTGATACAGCAACGGTTACAATCCACGTGTATATCTTAGAAATAATTTCCACAATCTTAGAAAAAATTAACCTACCAATTTGTTGACCTCTGTGTCTAGTTGTGAAATAAAATGTATTTGGCAGTTTGTTCTGCTTGTTTCATTGAGATCTCAAAGCAATTGTAAACATTGTGAGATTTGATTGCTGCCTTGCCTCACCTCAGAACTTTAAAAGCCAATGGGACAGAGTCCCTACTCCCCAGTTAACAGGTATAGTCCTAAATTGTAAATCAGTATGGTATTTTTTAACTTATTTTGTACAATCTAAGCCCAGTTGGTTCTGTAGAATTTACGTGATTGAGTAAACACAAGCAGACAGACATACACCATCAGATTTTTATTTAATAGTATAGATTTTTGCGCAGGTCTTTAAAATAATTTTAATCGATTTTTAAATTTTTAGTCCAGACTCAAGAAGACCAGCTCTATCTGGAACTTCAGTTCCTAATGGTGTTAAGTATGTCAACCAAACATTGAGCGCAGCTCCTATTCAAGAGTTTTTACAAGTATATGAAGAAGAGGGAAAGGATGAGGGATCTGTGTCAAATGACCAGCAGCTTGTTGAGACTCAAAGAAAACTCAAAGAACTAAATCTGGAAAGAGAAAACTAAACTTAAAATAAAATTAAGGTAAAATTTCTGAGTATTTTAGTTTGTTTATGCATTAAGGACTGGTTTATGAGATTACAGAGAGGAGTTTTTATTTCATCTATTACATGCTTAAGTAAGAACAATTGAATCTGATCCCAACCGACAGATCTTGTGTTATAAAATACAATTTTCCTTACTTCTGATTCGGTAATTAGTTTGAATTTAAATGTATTTGTGTAGTACTTTGAATCTATACAATTCAGAGCCTCTTTGGCTTTAGGACTACACCCTACTGATGTATGTGCAGATAGAAAATGGTTGTTGAAATTATTAGCCAAATGTGTAAGTTTCAAGGAATTGTTTTGAACATGATAAGGTAATTCAGATTTTTCCTTTTGTTGTCCAAGTTCACTCTTAACAATCTCCCATGTTGCTGTGGTCTTATTAAGAGAATTTTTAATAGAATGATCATTGTATTTCTTTTTAGAGAGTTCAATTGTTTTTTTGAATATTTGCCTGTATGTTTTTACATAATCTGATGTAGATAAAATATTTTTAGAAAAGTTTGAAATGTTATTAGACAAAATTGCATTGGAAGCAATGTCAAAAAATGTTTTTATAATGGCAGATACAAATATATAGACTTATTAACTGATAAAGTAAGTACTGATAATTTACTGGAAATTTGTGATTGTTTTGGATTTAAACCTAATGTTTTTGTACCAACTAGGGTAAACAGTATCTCAAGTACGTGTATTGACAATATTATTTCTAACTTACAGACAAAAAATACAAGCAGTTTAGTCATAGACATTGGTGCATCAGACCACAAAGTTTTACTTTTGTCATTTGAGAAAATGTCCTCTCTAAGACTTGAGGGCATAAATCAAAAATTTATTCGGAAGTTTACAGAGACAAATTTTCAAACCTTTGGTGATGGTCAGGATCTTGTGGTTCTTGAAGAGTGGCTTGCAGTGTTCTTGGTAATTTTTCCGGAATATTGTTTTAATGACTTTCTTCTGGATCACGAGTAGTTGGTCTAATTTGTTCTGTGCTGAAGATCCCCAAGCCACAATGCCGTATCTAATGTGACTGGCAAACAGTGCATGATATGCCATAAGGGCTGTTTCTTCATCCGTTATGCTTCTTATTCTTCTTATTGCAAACAATGACTTCGAGAGCTTCTTGCAGAGGTGGTCTATGTGTTGATGCCAGCTGAGGTGTTGGTCAACTATGATGCCAAGGAATTTAGTTGAGTCTGCTTCTATGAGTTTTGAGTTGTTGGTTTTAGGATGTTTTGTGCATGTGGGGGTGAAGTTGATATGCAAAGTTTTTTTGTTATTTATTGGTAGTTGTAGGGTTACAGATGGTTGTTACTTGATCTATTGTTGAGTTTATGATGCGTTTTCTATCTCCATTTCTCACAGTTGGGGTTATTATTGTAGTGTCTTCTGCAAAGAGCACACATTTTTAGGTGCTGTCTAGTTTGTCTGGGAAGTCGTTTATGTATATGAGGAATAGTTAAGGTCCCAGTATTGAGCCCTGTGGTACACCTCTTGTCACTTGTTTGTTTGATGATTTTACTACTTTGATTGATTTGGGGCTGTAATGATTTATTTCTGTATATTGAGTTCTGTCTGTAAGATAGCTTTTGATCCATTTTAAGGCTTGATTTTGTATTTTGTATTTTTCTAATTTTGGTATAAGTATTTTCCAGTCTAAGGAGTCAAATGCTTTCTGCAGATCGATGAATATGCCAGTGGTCGTTTGTTTTTCTTCCCAGATTTCTACAATTTTGTTACAAAGGTCTGCTATGGCTGTTGTGGTACTAAGTTTTTTCCTGAATCCATGTTGGCATGACGTGATTATGTTATTTCTTTCCAGGTGTGCAATAATTTGATTGTGATTGTGTAATTTGATTTCCAGTGCTTTTGAGAGAGTGGGTAAGTTTGCTATGGGCCTCTAGTTACCTGGGTTCATTTTGTCACCTGCTTTAAATTTAGGAATGATCTTGGCTACTTTGAGTTTGGATGGGACTTCTGCTTGCAGGATTGATGTGTTTATTAAGTGTAAGAGTGGTTCTTTTATTTCGTCAGTACAATATTTTACTATTTTTCCCGTTATATCGTCAAAGCCTGCAGAGTTTGTTGAGTTGAGCTTGGAAAGAATTTTTTCGAGTTCAGGGGTTGTAATTGTATTGAAACTGTCCAGAGGAGTGATGTCAAGATCTGTTTGGTCTTCAGCTGTGTGATTTAGACTTTGTTGTGATGTCGTAGGTCCTAGAAACGTGTTGTTAAAGATGTTGCTTATGTGATACGGATCAGTGACTATTTTATTGTTATGTAGTAGTTTGTAGTTCTCTTATGGTGTATCTTGTATTTTATTTCTCTCTTCATTTATTGTGTTCCATACCATTTTTACTTTGTTGTCGGCTTCTTGTATTCTTTGTAGTTTCTTTTTATTCCTCACATCCGTGTCGTATTCTTTCTTTAGTTTTGAGAAGTTTTCTTTATCCTCAGGAAGTCCAGTGTCCATATATTTGTGTTGGACCTTAAGTATGGTTTCTTTTAGTGCTAGTGTTTTTTCATCCCTGAATTTTCTTTTTCTATGGCCCGTTGTTTTTCTTTGTATCTTTGACATTACTTCATCTATTTTGTAGGTTATGGTTTTTAAGAGTGAATTGTATTTTTTATCAATTTGTTGGGCTTCATAGATTGAAGTCCAGTCTGTGTGGCTCAGCTGCTCTTTTAGCTGCTCAAGGTTTGTCTTTGTGTAGCTTCTAGTGGTTTTGTAGACTGAGGTTTCATATTTCATGTTAAAATTTATTTCACAGAATAATGAGTGGTGGTCAGAAAGTGAGCTTGGGTGTACTGTGGTATTTACCTTGCGTGGTTCTATATTAAGGTAGCATCCATCTATACTTGTGATTGATTTTTCGGTTTTTCTGGTATATGGTATATTGTACATGTAGCAATCATATTCTGCAAGTAGGTTTTCAAGGTCCAACTGTTAATATCACATTGGTTCACGGTACAGGTACATTAGGGCTTCTTATCTTGTTCTTACCATTATAGAGTAGATTCATTTGTTGTAATAAAAATATATTATTTTTGAATATGTTTTATATTTTTAAGATGATGGTTCATAAATCAAGAGGCAGAATTTATGAAACATTCATTAAATATTTGTCCACATTCTTTTTACTTACACCGTGGAATAAACCAATACCATTAGCAATACCCAAAACCAGTTATCTGGACAGATCTTGTCATACTTAAAATACAATAAACATAATAAAAACTAATATTTACATTACTGTACTAACTACGATGGCGGCCAGTTTCACACCCTAAAGTCCATGCTGTCCTCAAGATACTTCTCTATGGAGTAAAGACATTTGCTCAGTAACCAGTCCTTTATAATTTTTAAAAATAAGTTGTTAATCTCAGTCGTATATTGACTGGCACCTTGTTGAAAAGTTTCAAGTCAAGAAGTGTTTCACTGGTGTCAGTAATCCTAGTAGCATGACTAATTCATGTAGATTAAAAGATATTCCAGGCCCCAAACAGTACAATTGATATGATATCTCTTGATAAATTATGAATACATTTTTCAAATAAGTCAATAAATTCTTCTTATGCTCATTAGAAAGTTGGGTGACATGCCGTAAGCATCAGCACGGGGAGGGTTTGAAATTGTTAACTACTTTTGCAATATAATTAGGGGTGACTTTATTCCATTTCAACAAGGAACAAGGTGCAGAATTAACATTGCTACTCATGGATCAGCCAAACTATTGCACGTCTTCTTGTAAATATATATTTAAAATTTAGAACATAAATCTTAAATTGTGTATAGCCTAAAATTAGAGTGAAATATTATATTTAACATCAAGACACTCAAATGTCCCCAACACTGTGTACTCATAAACAGGCTTCCTATGTATATTCTTGTTGATAAAATATCTTTAGTTTGTATAGACAATATTCTGTTTTTATAAAGGGAAATGTATCCATATTATTATTTATTTAACTGTTGGGTTTAAGGGGGGAGTTCACGCCAAAAAATGGCCAAAATATGAATTTTTACACTTTTTTTTATTTTTATTTATTATATATTACATTCTGAACATAAAACAGTTAAAACCAACCTTATACGATTTTTTTTTCTCATAAAAAAAATACTTTGAAGTAGCACTTTGTCAATCACTAAAAGCACCGTGTTTTGGTATTCGGTCGTTGCCAAAAATGGGCCAAAATATGAATTTTTAAAATTTTTTTATTTATTTTTTTTTATTATATGTTAAATTCTGAACATAAAACAGTTAAAACCAACCTTATACGATTTTTTTTTCTCATAAAAAAATACTTAGAAGTTGCATTCCGTCAATCACTAAAAGCACCGTGTTTTGGTATTCGGTCGTTTTTCAAAAGTTTACTTTTTTCGCATGGGAACATAAATATCTCAAGTTCTATACTAGATAGAAGGATGAAATTTTTTTTATTTTGTTCAGTTTGACAATATCTACAATCTCTAGCATGGATTTGTAAAAGTAATGTCATTAAAATATTTAAAAAAATAGTTTTTACCAGTTATTTTGTAGAAAAAATTATTTCAAAATTTCAAAATTTACTGTAATTTTATTTTATATAATTTCCTTAAACCCATGCTAGAGATTGTAGGTATTACTCTCAGGAACAGATAAAAAAAACAAAACAACCCTCTATCACTTTTAAAACCTGAGAAATTTATGTTCTCACAAACCCTTGCAATACACAAACCCCCCCCCCCCCCACCATTGGGTAGCGGAAAAAAAAATTTTCCAGTTTTTTTCTGTATGTTTTATTTAACTTCACCTTAAGGTGTAGTATGAGTAAAATTGGTTTGTAAATAAAGATTTTCACTTTTTATTTGAACTCCCCCCTTAAGAAATATTTATTCTTTTTGTTAAGAAAATAAAATATCTTTATTGTATGAAAAAATATTGTTTTATTTTCTTATTCTGTGTTTACCAGTAGGCCTACAGTTGATTTTATTTTAATTATAGTTGTTTGGTTATGTTAATTAATTGTAACCAGATACGCCAGCCGCAACAGACAGTCTTCATGAACACCGTTGTATGTAGTGCTAAGGAAATCAATTGTTGTGCATTTATTGTGTAAATAAAAGCACTTTTAAACATTCATTTACTGTAATTCATTCATTCATAAAGACACTTCCAGCTGGATGAGAAGTTTACAGAGAGAGAGAGAGAGAGAGAGAGAGGTGTTTGGCCGAAGCCCAGCGGTCCCTCCACCACCCCTGGTTTGAGTCAGAGACTTATTCACCAGGCTGCTTTCCTGAAAAATGTAAAGAAAAAATATATATTTAAATAAATATTTAAATATATATTCTACTTGCAAATACTCTCAGCTAACTGGCTCTTTACAAATATTGGTTGCCCCTGGGTTGGAAGAACAAAGTGAATAAAAATATTACAACAGAGCGTTGGCAGCTTGATGTTAAATAAAAATTGAGTGGCCCCTGTGGAATAAAATTATCCCCAGAAGTCCTTATTCTGGACGTTCCTGGTACTGTTTAGTTCTTCCAAAGCTGAAAATAATCTTAAGACTACACTGACTCTACTTTGCACACTACTACACTAAATTTAGTGTTGCACCCAAGGTGTATCTTTTGTAGTGGCTTCTTATTGAATGTACTAAAGATACATTCTTATATTTAAAAATAATTTAAGTTGAGTATAACTCAATTTGAATAGCACAAGGTGATGTAGTTACTTATTACCTCAGTATACTTGTCATTAATTTTTTCTATATAAAATGTATAAAACCCCATCGGTACAAGAAGTGATTGGCTCGGTTACAATATAGCCGCGACAGTGACAGTAAGGTGTGAAATTTATTTAATGTTTGAGAAGATCCAACACTCGCAAATCCTTCTCGTTGCCAACGACTATAAAATTGAAGTTTATGTCTCGTCGTCCAATTTGTTACACAGTATAACTGTACGTAACTCGATGGTATGGTATGAAAGACTATTTATTATAAATGGCTATATAAAGAGTGTTATGGCGGATACGTCTATATTGTAACACACTCCCACTATCTACAATCGCAAGCCAGTATCGAACCTGCAGCCCACTTCAACTTCCAACTATATCAAATTTCCCAATTATTTCACCAATGGCAATTATACTCTCGTAAACTATTGATTTGAATATTACTGTTTTATAAAAACAATGTGTTTGCCATGACGATTATAATACTAATATTTTTTTCAAGTTACGTTAATTTTACCACAAACAATTGAACATTTCTTTAATTTTAGAATAATGATAATATCACTGACTATGCATTAATACCAACCAAGTAATTAGATCAAAATGGATACAAAATGTACTTATTAATATCTAAATCTGAAAACGTGTGCTCAAGAACAGGAAATGAAAAACAACATGAAATCTGACGGCTTGTACGACCCACTGAAAATTATTATACTGTAACACTAATACAATAAATAATATATAGCTACTTACAATTTGGACATCCAACACACAACACTTAGGGGATCAAGGGAAATACGGATTAGGGCGAGATTTTTCCAAAACGCGGACAAATTGAATTTTGGTTGAACGAAGAGCGGTATGTGTATGTGTCGGGAGCGGTATGTGTTAGTTGGTAAAGATAAAACATGTGAGTATTTTAATTGTTTGTAGTGAAGCGAGTTTCTAGATCATTAAAAAACAAATCAATATTCATGGATGGGCTTTGGTAAACTGGAATTATGTTGTAATGTTTGGAGTCCAAAGTGCAGTCAAATACTAATCCAGTCGCTTCAACCAGTCTTATCTGTTGCATTGTCATGCAAAATTCCGTTTTCAAGTGTAGTGAGCTGACAAATCTATCAGCTGACAGATGTTTTAAATAGTTTTATTGAATTTTGGTTGCTAAGAAAAGAAAAATAAACAAAGGGACATTCTTCTAGGCTTTTCTAACAAAAGTGGTTCATTTTTATTTTCTCTAGACAATTAATTGTTAATTAAGTATGATAAATTAAACGATAATATTTAGTGGAAACCTCAAGACTTTTATTTAAAGTATTTCTATTATTTAAATGAGGTTCTTTTCACTAAAATGTATCGTTTAATTTATCATACTTTTAAAATTAATTAACAATTAATTGTCTAGAGAAAATAAAAATGAACCACTTTTGTTAGAAAAGCCTAGAAGAATGTCCCTTTGTTTATTTTTCTTTTCTTAGCAACCAAAATTCAATAAAACTATTTAAAACATCTGTCAGCTGATAGATTTGTCAGCTCACCACACTTGAAAACGGAATTTTTGACAAATCTATCAGCTGACAGATGTTTTAAATAGTTTTATTGAATTTTGGTTGCTAAGAAGAGAAAAATAAACAAAAGGGACATTCTTCTACGAGTAACTGCTTAATCCTCTTATGTTCCGAGACTGATAATCTTCTTATTAGTTCTTTCTTCAGGCTCGTGTAAGGGTTTTCCAGATTTGGGTTTGAGAGTAAATTCTGTATTTCGGAAGCAGTCATCTCATCTAAGTGTGTCACAACGTGTGTGAAACGAAGGCTCTCATAAAAAATGTGCCATAGAGAGAAAATTGCCTCAATCTGTATGAACCAAAGTGCTGGTTTCTCACACCAAAAATAGGGAAATTTAAATTGTGGAGATTGCATTGAAGTTGTGTTGTCAGGCGGTCTTGGATTTACTGAACTGTTTTTTTTTTTTAGTTTTCTGATTCATTGGATTAACCAAAAAATCCTCTTCTGAAGCACGATTTTGTCTTGAATATTGAGAGTCAACTCCAATGACATCATTAAACTGTTTTCTGAGATCTTGATTTTGCTCTTCCATCAGTTTTAGTCTTGCCAATATTTCTTCATTGATTTCCATTATATGTGTTCTTGATGTGTTCAAATCGGGGTCACCAATTTTAGTGAAAAGAACCTCATTTAAATAATAGAAATACTTTAAATAAAAGTCTTGAGGTTTCCACTAAATATTATCGTTTAATTTATCATACTTTTAAAATTAATTAACAATTAATTGTCTAGAGAAAATAAAAATGAACCACTTTTGTTAGAAAAGCCTAGAAGAATGTCCCTTTGTTTATTTTTCTCTTCTTAGCAACCAAAATTCAATAAAACTATTTAAAACATCTGTCAGCTGATAGATTTGTCAGCTCACTACACAAGTACACAATGATGCCGTCATTTCTGATCCAGTTGTCTGTACAGTGGCGGATCCAGGCTTATCGGGGCCCTGAGAAATCGACTTTGGTGGGGCCCTACTAACCGGGGTGTCTGGGGGTCCTCTCCCAGGATTTGTTGAAAAAATTAGCCCAAAAATGTGTTTTTGAGGCTTTTTTAACTAGTTAGCTGTGTTTGATTAACTTTTATTTTGTATTTTATTGAACCACAACATAGGTAGTGCATTTTCAGTTTATATTTTCATATTTAACGTGCTGAAAATGGTTAGCTAAATGACACACACACACCACATTTGACCATTGGAGTAAGAAATTTCAATATAGGCCTACCAGATTTAGATTTCTTTGTCTCTTTTACTCTTTGCTTACTTATAGGCTGGTTGAGCTTAAGGGCCTCGTGCTTCTAACCGACCGACCCGACCAGCGCTTTATTAGGTCCGGGCCACGAGGACCCGCTGGGCGTGGAGCCCTGGTTGCCCGGCTCCCCCCGGCCCTGGATCCGCCACCGTGTATGTATTAAATAAATCGTATCCATCGATGTGATTCAATCAAATTCAATGTTTGGACTTGTAACAAAACCAATGCAGCATCAATGTTCCTACTGTAACTTCTAATATTTGAATGAATAAGTAATAAACCTTTACCCTCATTGAAAAAGTTAGATACTTTTATATGGTTTACAAAACTTATGCATTGTATAGTTTTAAAGTTTTCCAAGTCAGTTTCTCTATCAAAGTGAAGGGGACGCGCAAAGACCCCCCCCCCTGCAACGTCTCCCCCTTACGTCATATTGACGTCAGAGGCCGTGGGGAGACGAATCCCGCCGCGGACACTCAAGTTCATTTCAAACATGCACTCGTCAATATGAGGAGTTATTGTTGGGTTTGCGTATTATTTACATAATTATAGTCACTTTAGCATATACCAATTACCAGATATTCCAATTGCAATTTATGTGTTAACCAGATACGTTACCCCCAGAATCGTTTACAAAAGACACACCCCGGAAAGGTATCAACCTGACATGGTCTCCCCCTATATACCTGCTGTAGGGCTCGGGCTCGTGACTTGAGCCAGCTATAACGTCATAATATACATTGATAAACATAAATTTTTAAATTGTATAACCATTGAGCAATAAATGCTATATATGATTATAATTAAAATATACATTTTAAATTTCCCCGGCTGAAGAGGACGAAATCCTAAACAGCCTCAGTCCAGTAGGGTATCAGCTCATTGGATTAGATCGTCAGGAAGAAGATGTAGAAGCATCTCTAGATGGGTCAGCTGGTCAGCTTGAATCAGACTACCCTGGTTCAATACTTGCCTTGGTAGTTTACAATTATTAACAATTGTAAACAATAATTGTTTCTTGTTCTTACAAAACTAGTTTTACCAAATATAACGATCTAATTTCAAATTAGATCGTCTTTGGTTGCATAACCGAACAGTATTGTCAATTACCTAAAACAAAAGTCATGAAATTAACTCTGAGAAAAGAGAAAAAATTAGGTACGTCGAGACTATCTCTCACAGTCAGCAACATGAATGGACCACAGATAAAAACAAGTATCAGATTTAACAATGGGATGAGAAATCTACTTGTGTTAGTTAGTCCATGGTCAACCGTCAACCAGCGCATTCTGGTATAACCACTAACCAGGATGAACATCATCATAGTATAGGCTGCAAATTTAACAATATGATGAGAAGTATAATTGCACTGCCATGGATTTCTATATTACCTTATATCTATTTTATTATATTATCTTATATCTACTTTACTATATCACCCCTTAATTTTCCTATATGAGGTGGGTAACCACCATCAAAAATCCCTAGCAAAACCTAAAATTTAATTTCCTTAAAAAAACTGGCTTAGTGACATTTTTTCAAAATTATTATTTTGACGTTTAATTTGTAATTATTCTATAGGAGTCAATAGACCAGACCGTGTGCTCAGTTTATGTCAAAACTAGCTATTTGCTATTTAAAATTTATTCTTAAGTTCAGCGGTTGCAGCAAAACTCGCCTTTTCCATCCCGACTTTTGTAGCAGAACTGGTCATTTGCTGCCGACCAATGGTAGCACAGCTTATGATCGAATGACTCTTAAGTTTGTAAAGTTACTGAAGAGTGGCTAGTTTAAAAGTTGCAGCTGTCTTTCAGTGCATTGATCTAACGTTTATTATTAAAATATGGAGACAATAATGAAATCTGTTGATGACAATGTTGAAGAAGAAGTTGACCTGGTTGTTTTAAATTTTAAGACTATATGACGTTACTACTAAAGCACTGATAATCCCTTTTAAAACTACGACAACTACTTTCTTGCTTTTTAAAATAATTGTTTCACGTCATGCTAATATAGGGAGTTAAGAACGTTATTAAAAGGTTTTGTGTGTCAAACTATGCTTTTATTTTAAAATCCTTAAATACCATTTTAAAATGTTTGCCGAAGCAAAACGGTTTTTTAAAATCATAATGGTTGTTGCAAAACTGGCTAAGTGGTATGATTAATGTATTTTTAAAGGCTAGTTAATAATAAAAGCGGAAAAATATTTGTTTCCAGAGATTTTTTTAATAAGGGGGGGGGAGCGAGCTGGCGTAGTGGTTATAGAGCGCGGGACTTCAGTCCCTAAGGTTTTTTCCTGAGGATTTTATCTAAGTGATAATGCCGTAACCCCTAGGTCTAGCCTGAAGTATAATGTGAAAAACAATCCCATAGGCTCGTGCCTAGCGTCCTAGGACAAAAAAAATTAATAGGTACTTAATGTACTTGTATAAAAAATGACAACTCAATTACTTCATCAGAACAAAAGATGAACGTTTTTTGTGCTTCCTGAAAGAATTTGTAGTTTTACTTAGCCAGTTTTGCTATGACCTACCCCACGGCCGCCTTTAAAGGCGGCCGTGCCTACCCTGTCTCATATATATAGTAACATTTACATCAGGACACCAACTTCTTTCACGTTGGCTAGCTTGACTTTTCTGGTCACATGTTATTAAGTAAACAAAAAAATAAAGTTGACACCGACCGGACCGACTGAATGTATGAATGAAACTGACACTGCACTAGCACTTCAACTCAAATTCACTCACTCATCAAAACCAAAATATGTTGTTCTGTCCGTAGATACTTTGGTCTTTGTTGTTCATTGGGTAATATTTTTTATCAGATTCACTTCTAGTTCAATGTTGGAGTTTTAGAGGTTACCGGTATTCCAAGGTGTTGGTTTGGTGTTGAATGGAAGATATCTTGAGTAGTGTAAAGTGAAAGATGACACGTGTTTGTTTAATAGGTTAATTTGAAATAAAAACATACAAAATGACTCTCGAAGCTATAAAGTATCACCAAGGTGAGCTTAAAATTCTGGATCAGCTGCTACTGCCAATGGAGTCGAAATATATTGATATCAAAGGGGTAGAAGATGGATGGAAGGCTATTCATTCAATGCAGGTCAGTGGTTAGATATGCTAGGCCTATGCAATGGGATGACTTGGCCTATTGAGTAAAATCATAATTGCCTAACTTATAGGTCTTAGTTCCTAAGCCTAGGCTTAAGATTTGACGAAACCATATTTCTTTCTCAACAACTTAGGTAGGGCCTACCATATCTTGGAATAAAAATCCTAGTAGGCCTAGGCCTTTTGTTGTAAATTAACTAATTTAGATCGGCGTGAAACTGGCAATAGATTAGCAATAACTCACTCCACTTCTCCTACTTCCCCTCCGACGAATATACGTCACAGTAAAACGTCATAACAATGATGGCGTCACAGCAGCATTCGTCATAGAGCCGACGACATAACCTCCAAAAAATCAAGTGGCGGGAACTTTTTTTTGGCGGCACACGGCCAAGATGGCGTTCGGTTGTTCCCGCCAACCGTTGAGTATAGCAAGTGTCTTTAATATATGTAAACAACTGCATAAATGAATTAATGTTAAGGAGTTGTAAACAAAGTAAACGCCTAAAGCCGATCCTAGCACCATAGACTAACAATCACAAGAAGACTTCTCATCCCATTGTAAATTTTGAAGCTCGTTTTTCGTATCTAGTTCATGTACGTGACACATGGGCGCTAGTGTCCACGAAACTTTGTTTCTATTATTTTAGGGTTAATTTCTTGATTTGTGCTTTACTGTTTGGTTATATAACTTGGGTACAGGTTATTGTTTATGATTAGATCGTATTATTTAGTTAAACGAGGCTTTAAATGGCTGTAATAACGGGAAACAAATTGTAAACAAAACAGGACCTCAAGAAAATAAGAAATTGCCATAAATTTCTATTGCTGGCTTATTCGGTTGGTACGATTTTCTGTTTTTCATTTGAAATATGTTTATTACATTGTTATGAACTGGAAAAAACTTCGTTTATGTTCTAATAACTATTTATAGTTGAGATAGGTGACTTTGAATTAAACTGGTGTGACCTCGGTTCCATAAGAACCCAACTTACTAAAAATCTTGTTTTTTCGTTTTTACATGTTTGTTACTTCTTAATAAACAATATCTAACGCCTTTTCGAAAAAAATTATCAGTTATTATCAATTAAATGCATTATTTAAATTTTGCTCAAGAAAATATTAAATTACGATAAATTTCTATTGCTGGCCTATCCCTTTAGCACGATTTTCTTTATTCTTTCAAAATATGTTTATTACATCATTACGAACTAGAAAACACGTCGCCTAGGTTCGTACACTCCTTTATAGTTGAGATAGGTAACTTTGAATTAAACAGGTGTGACCTCGGTTCCATAAGAACCTTATTTACCAAAAATCAACTTTTTCGTTTATACATGTTAGTTACACCTTAATTAACAATACCTAACACCATTTCGATAAAAAATATTAATGTTTATCAATTTAATGCATTTTTTAAAATCTGCCTCAATAGAATAATAAATTACCATAAATTTCTATTGCTGGCCTATCCCTTTGGCACGATTTTCTTTATTCTTTCAAAATATGTTTACTACATCATTACGAACTAGAAAACACGTCGCCTAGGTTCGTACACTCCTTTATAGTTGAGATAGGCCATTTTGATTGTAGCTGGTGTGACCTCGGTTCCATAAGAACCTAACTTACTAAAAATCACTTTTTTTCGTTTATACATGTTAGTTACACCTTAATAAACAATACCTAACACCATTTCGATAAAAAATATTAATATTTATCAATTTTATGCATTATTTAAAATCTGCCTCAAAAGAACAATAAATTACCATAAATTTCTATTGCTGGCCTATCCCTTTGGCACGATTTTCTTTCAAAATATGTTTATTACATCATTACGAACTAGAAAACTCGTCGCCTAGGTTCGTACATTCCTTTATAGTTGAGATAGGTAACTTTGAATTAAACAGGTGTGACCTCGGTTCCATAAGAACCTTATTTACCAAAAATCAACTTTTTCGTTTATACATGTTAGTTACACCTTAATTAACAATACCTAACACCATTTCGATAAAAAATATTAATGTTTATCAATTTAATGCATTTTTTAAAATCTGCCTCAATAGAATAATAAATTACCATAAATTTCTATTGCTGGCCTATCCCTTTGGCACGATTTTCTTTATTCTTTCAAAATATGTTTATTACATCATTACGAACTAGAAAACACGTCGCCTAGGTTCGTACACTCCTTTATAGTTGAGATAGGTAACTTTGAATTAAACAGGTGTGACCTCGGTTCCATAAGAACCTTATGTACCAAAAATCAACTTTTTCGTTTATACATGTTAGTTACACCTTAATTAACAATACCTATTACCATTTCGATAAAAAATATTAATATTTATCAATTTTATGAATTATTTAAAATCTGCCTCAAAAGAACAATAAATTACCATAAATTTCTATTGCTGGCCTATCCCTTTGGCACGATTTTCTTTATTCTTTCAAAATATGTTTATTACATCATTACGAACTAGAAAACTCGTCGCCTAGGTTTGTACACTCCTTTATAGTTGAGATAGGTAACTTTGAATTAAACAGGTGTGACCTCGGTTCCATAAGAACCTTATTTACCAAAAATCAACTTTTTCGTTTATACATGTTAGTTACACCTTAATTAACAATACCTAACACCATTTCGATAAAAAATATTAATATTTATCAATTTATTGCATTTTTTAAAATCTGCCTCAATAGAATAATAAATTACCATAAATTTCTATTGCTGGCCTATCCCTTTGGCACGATTTTCTTTATTCTTTCAAAATATGTTTATTACATCATTACGAACTAGAAAACACGTCGCCTAGGTTAGCCCACTCTTTAGTAGTGTTGCTATGTAGCCTGGAATTGACCTCATGTGACCTCGGTTGCACGACGACGCTATTACACAACTTAATGTTTTATATGTCTTTTTACATTATTTAGCTGGTATTGAACAATAGTAGGCACCTTTTAGCTTATTGAAGAAGAAACTACCTCGATTTTAATCCAAAATTAAAAAAAATTACCTAAAATTACTAACTGGCTACCACAAAAACCTATTGCTGGCATCTCCTGTTAACTTTTTTCTCGTTTTTCTTTTGATATGTGTTAAAGACATGGTTATGAACAAAAAATGACGTTGTATGTGTTAGCTCACTCTTTAGTAGTGTAGCTAAACAGCCTGGAATGGACCTCATGTGACCTCGGTTGCACAACGATGCTATGACACAAATTAATGTTTTATATGTCTATTTTCATTATTTAGAAGGTAATTATTAATACTTAGCAGTTTTTAGCTAATTAACGTAGTAACAACCTTGATTTTTACCTTAATTGAAAAATTGCCTAAAATACTAACTGACTACCATAAAAACCTATTGCTGGCATCTCCTCTTAAATTTTTTTCTCGTTTTTCTTTTGATATGTGTTAAACACATTGGTATGAACAACAAATGACGTAGCCTAGGTTAGCCCACTCCTTAGTAGTGTTGCTATACAGCCTGGAATGGACCTCATGTGACCTCGGTTGCACGACGACGCTATTACACAAATTAATGTTTTATATGTCTATTTACATTATTTAGAGGGTAATGAACAATACTAAGCAGTGTTTAGCTAATTAAAGTGGTAACAACCTTAATTTTAACCTAAATTGAAAAATTACCTAAAATTACTAACTGACTACCATAAAAACCTATTGCTGGCATCTCTGGAAATATTGATAGCTTAGTATGAAATAAACCAAATTGCCTAATTTGATTAAAATATATCCGCATAAAGAAGCAAACTACAACAGTTTATTTATTCTCCATAAGAATAATATGGGGATTGTAATATTTTATCTCACTTCATTCGTTTTAAGTTTCTTAAAATATTAACTTTTGTTCATACACCTTTGTTATTAATTACTCATCAGAAAGGCTGGCCTAGTATTCATTTCCCTAATTTAAATACAATTTCATTAATCTGTTCAATTAATCATCAATAATATTCATTCCATAGCCACGTGTTCAACAATGAATTATGTGAACATTGAGATTGGAGAGAGAAAGAAGCCAGAGTGGAAGATTAAACTGTTAGTTAAAAGTATTCCAGATTTTATCTAAATAAAATTAATTAATATCATCAAGAAACCCAGTTTATATCAAGTAATATCATAGTAAACCTCAAGAGGACTCAACTTCAACATTATTTTTCAAAATTAAGTATAAACTTTTCTTTTTAACTCTTTAAATTCAGTGCACATTGGACCTTTAGGACAACATCAAAATTAGATTTTTTTCATTGTTGGGATTTTGTAAGTTTGACACCTTAATTAGGCCTATTAAGGTCATGCAAGACGACGTTATTACACAAATTAATGTTTGTTATGAGCATATGAAGCTATAGTTGTCTTTTTACTATATTTCAAATATTCCACTCAAGTCATCTCAATGTTTCATAGTCTACTTACATTACTTAACAAATTAGTTATGCTTATTTACATTATTTTATATACATTACATTAGTATTGTTCATTACCCTCTAAATAATGTAAATAGACATATAAAACAATAATTTGAGTAATAGCATCTTCGTGACACCGAGGTCACATGAGGTCCATTCCAGGCTGTATAGCAACACTACTAAGGAGTGGGCTAACCTAGGCTACGTCATTTTTTGTTCATAACAATGTGTTTAACACATATCAAAAGAAAAACGAGAAAAAAATTTAAGAGGAGATGCCAGCAATAGGTTTTTATTGTAGTCAGTTAGTAATTTTAGGTAATTTTTTAATTTGGATTAAAATCGAGCTGGTTTCTACTTCAATAACCTAAAAAGTGCCTAGTATTGTTCGATACCAGCTAAATAATGTAAATAGACATATAAAACATTAATTTGTGTAATAGCGTCGTCGTGCAACCGAGGTCACATGAGGTCCATTCCAGGCTGTATAGCAACACTACTAAGGAGTGGGCTAACCTAGGCTACGTCATTTGTTGTTCATACCAATGTGTTTAACACATA